GCTCACTTAACCACTAAGCCATGGGGCCGGCCTGGATATTCCATTTTGTACCTTACATATTTCATTTTGTATTTCCTTTCCCATACAATGAGTAACCTGGTTCCCAACAACATTAGTATATTTATTCACTTGCTCTATCATATAGTACACACAAAAATGGTTTCAGAATTATATCAGTATCACTACTAATAAACTAGGTACAGTTAGAAATTTCTTGAAGTTTTGTCCTTAGAATATATTCCACTAAAGGTATACAGAATTCTGGGTTCAAAAGTTAGTTGAATTCTTTCCTTCTGGATATCTTAATAGTTCGATATACAGTTAAGGTTGTTCACTTCCATTTGTGTTCAATTTTAATGTTTTCTTGTTTTTTTATTTTTTATCTAATTTTATGTTTTTGAGTATGTAAAAACATTAACATGGTTCAGAAGTCAAAACTCTATTACATAGAAAGGTATTCACTCCCACCCTTCTGCCTGTCCCCATCCACCCCCTGTAGGTAACCATGTTCATTTGTTCCTGGTTTATTCTTCCTGCGTTTCTCTTTGCAGAAATAAATCATACGTATATTTTTATATCTCCCTTTTTATACAAAAGTAGTACACTACACTCCTTTGCATTTTGCTTTTCTATTTCTTTTATTGTAAGACACTGACTTATATCTTACAATGTGGATCCTAGAATACAGCATTAACAGTAAATTAAACAATAATGACAGAATATAATATGCCACCTTAGAGTGAACTGTTTCACTTTTTTAAACTTTATCTCATTTTTAAACTTTATCTTTCTTTAACTTTATCTGGTCATTAGGTATTTTAAGGGTCATAGTACTTGAAAAGCTAATTCTTCTCACAATTTATGGCCTTATTTGCCTTAGTTGGCAAAATGACACAAAATACACGTATAGCACACTAAATTCTTGGGGAATGATTTCAGCACACTCTCAACACTGAGAAAACATACATGGCATAATGGAAGTAAGCCTGGACTAGAGTCAGGATAGTCCTCTGGGAGGGACTGCCAGTCTGGGACCACTGTAAGTTGACTTCTCAGCATGAGGAATTTTTTACATCATTCAGGTAGCATGAATTAGGACTGTAAATCCACAGGAGGGGGCAGTTTATGCTTAGGTATTTTGAAGGCAGATTTTTCTCCCACCAAAGAGCACCAAGACAGAAAGGCAAGTTCCTTTTTTCCTTTGTAGAGATGAGGTTTTGGGGGGTTTGTTTGTTTTTCTAGCCTGTCCTTATACAGAGTGTAATAGAGAGTGTCAGCCTCCTTCCTTGGTTGGGCTCCAGACTTTGGCTTCTGTCCCCTGAGCCCCTTGCACTGTCAGAATGGAAGCTTAAGGAGGATTGAGGAGTTATCGCAACAGGATTGAGGAGTTATCTCAGGCAGCCAGCTTCAACTCTTGCTAACTTCCTGTCTTCTTGCTTTTACTTGATTTTTGACCTCTGAGGATTTTACTTTCTTATCAGCTCAGAGATACATAATAAGTTGAACTTTTGCTTAGGATATCTAATCAGTCATGCTTCAGGAAATGGGAACTTTGATAATTCACCCAGATAGAGTGGTAGTATTGGTCTTCGATGGCCATTCCTGTCTCAGAACTTCTATAGTTCCTTATATTTATAGAGGACCTATCCATTCTTTCAGGTTCAACTCAAGTCATACCCTCCCCCTCAAAGCTTTCCTTTTTTTTTTTTTTTTTTAATAATTTTTATTTATTTATTTTTTTCCCCCAAAGCCCCAGTAGTTAGTTGTATGTCATAGCTGCACATCCTTCTAGTTGCTGTATGTGGGACGCGACCTCAGCATGGCCGGAGAAGCGGTGCATCAGTGCGTGCCTGGGATCGAACCCAGGCCGCCAGCAGCAGAGCGCCTGCACTTAACCGCTAAGCCACAGGGCCGGCCCTCAAAGCTTTCCTTGATGACCTGAGTCAACACTCATCTCTTTTATTAGGAATATTATACCACTGTTTGGCCCTGCTGACCAACAGATTGTGCTAACCAATCCTTTCTGGTTAATTATATGCACATATTTAAGCTTAGTGATTAATGATTTCAATTTCTAATAAACTGATTGGTTTAAATTGTATGCTTATAGTAGCAATTTCATGGTCATCATTCCAACTTGTTACTTAAAGCTTCTTGATTATAACTCTGGTACTTTTCAGATATATGGAACAGTCTGTCATAGACTGATTCTGATTACATAGAAGTTAAACTCAGCTTCTGGTCCTGTCTCACCTTTTTTGTGTGTATATACACACCTACCTCTACAATCCATTAACAGTCTCATTTTGGTTTTTTAGGGGCGAGTAACAAATCCTGGTTTGAGGAAGGAGTTTTTAATTTTTTTCTTCTATAAAATTAATAGAACTACATTTTTAGTACTTAATAGCAATAAAAGTAATATAGCCAATTTATTGAAAATTTAAAAATATTTTTAAAAAGCTATAATCTGATTGTTAGCATTTTGATAATATTTGTCTAGTTCTAATGAGTCTTCATGCTAGTTATGATACTGTTTTTTCCATTTAACATTACTCCTAAGCATTTTCTAGTGTCAACTCTGATTTTTGGATTTGAATCAAAATAATAAAAGTAGTTTGTAAATTCAAGCAGTACAAGGAAGCAAAATGAAATATGTCTCCCTCTCCTCACGTGTTACCAGGACCTTCTCCCCTTAGATTACCACTGCCTGTGTGTATGTGTATATATGTGTATGTGTATCTACAATACATATAGCATATCTTTATACAGATGGCATCTTACTCTGCATACTGTTATATACCTCTTTTTTCACTTAATATGTCCTGTACACCTTTTCATACCAATGTACATTTTTATCATTATCAATATTCCATTGTCCCCTAGGCTAACTAGTCCTTTATTGATGGATGATCCTGTTGAATGGATATATTTACAAAGTTATTATACTTTGATCTGCATCTTAGAAAGTTTCTGAACTACCCAGTACCATTTTTGCTACATTATAAACTCCAGGGCTGGCCCCGTGGCTTAGTGGTTAAGTGTGTGCGCTCCACTACTGGTGGCCTGGGTTCAGATCCCGGGTGCGCACCAACGCACCGCTTCTCCAGCCATGCTGAGGCTGCGTCCCACATACAGCAACTAGAAGGATGTGCAACTATGACATACAACTGTCTACTGGGGCTTTGGGGAAAAAAAAGGAGGAGGATTGGCAATAGATGTTAGCTCAGAGCCGGTCTTCCTCAGCAAAAAGAGGAGGATTAGCATGGATGTTAGCTCAGGGCTGATCTTCCTCACAAAAAATAAATAAAAAAAATAAACTCCATATTTGATTATATTTTATTATATAATTCTTAACATTTGCAAGTTCTGTGTTTCCCACCTGACTTCAAAGGAGAAAGGTATTGTAACTTAAATTTGTTTTAAACCTTCATAATGAAAACAACAGGCATCACAAAGACATACATGATTGCTTTGCAGCCAGGTTTGGGGTCAAAGTTTGTTTGTTTTGTTTGTATATGTGTGTGCTTTCATTTGAGTTCACCTTTTTACAACAAGTTATTGTCATTTATTTTACCAAATCAGTTTCTGAAGGAAATACAAAAGAAGCATAAGCCATTTCCAGAGTTTACGTCTAGGTTGGAAATACAAGAAATGCACAGGGCCAGCCCGGTGGCACAGTGGTTAAGTGCGGGCACTCCGCTGCAGTGGCCCGGGGTTTAGATCCCGGGCGCACACCAACGTGCCACTTGTCAAGCCACGCTGTGGCAGCGTCCCATATAAAGTGGAGAAAGATGGGCACAGATGTTAGCCCAGGGCCAGTCTTCCTCAGCAAAAAGAGGATTGGCATCGGATGTTAGCTCAGGGCTGATCCTCCTCACAAAAAAAAAAAGAAATGCACAAAATTGTGAAATAATACTATAAGGCCAAGTTTTGTCACAGCTCCAATATTATATTAGGTTGAACCATTAGAAACTGCTGATATTCAGACATACTGACCTACAGAAAAGGCAATTTCATATGATTCAACCTATTCTGTACTGTAGGATTCTAAGGAGAGAGGAACATGAGCTGGGCCATGAACATCTTTTTTAATAGGTGGAGACAGTAGCATAAGAGAAGGCCTAGAGTCTGGAATTAGCATGGCACCTGTAGAAGATGATGAGGAAGTACTTTTGAGTTATGTAGATAACTTTGAACTTTAAGTTAAGCTGAATATGAGGTGTGGCAGAAGATATAGTAGAATAGAAAGGCTAGATTATTTTGAGACTGAAGGCCAAGTGGAGGTATTTTGAACTTTATTTTTCTCTTTCTTGAACTTTTGTCCGTTAAGCCACTGATCCTCAAACTTGAGTGTGCGTCAAAAACTCCTAGACGGCTTGCTAAAACAGATTGCTCAGCCCCACTCCCAAAGTTTCAGATTCAGTATGTCTGGGTGGGCCCCAATAATTTAACATAGTCCCAGGTAATAGTGATGTTCTGCCACTGGTCTGGGGACTGTACCTTAGAGAACCATTGCTTTAGGCTATAGAAGAATTAGTAAACATATTTAAGCATGGAAAGCACTCCATGAAATTGCTTTTCAATATTATGTAGGATTGTGCAGAGTAGATTGGAAGAATGGGTGATGACATGAGTATGCCTACTTTATGATTATTATATAAGCTATAATCTATATAAGTAATTATATAATTAAAGTCATCCCAAGTTATCCCACACAGTCTTCACTGTTTTCACTTCTCTTAGCTCTGTCATCTGACCTAACCTATTTTATTTACTGTGTGTCCATGTCAAATAGTAAGAAGCGTCTCCTTTGTCAACAATTTAGTCTCCTGTTTTTTTTTCCCTTTTATTCTCCTTTCCCAAGCGTTAAGGACCATGTTATCAGGTTGTCAGAGCCATAGTCTTTTTAGGCATTTTACTCATGTTCATTATTTTGTTTCTGTTTTGGCAGTTTCCTTTCTCCAAATAGAGAAAATCTTTTTATATTCTTTTTATTTCAGAATGGGAAACAAAAGCCCAAGAGTGTACTCCAGTTAAAAATATTCCTAAACTCACAAAGGATGGAACCAGGACCATCAAATTGGAAGAACCATATGACTATGATGACAGGTTAGAGAGGCGAGCAACAGATACCTTCAGGAAAGTTCCCACTAATGAAAGAGATTTCAGTTTAAAGTCAGTCCTTTCACAAGAAGATGATCCTACAGAAGAGTATCTTAGTAAATATGATATATATAGAAATAATTTTGAAAAGCATTCAAACCTAATTATACAGTTTGGTACCCAATCAGATAATAAAACTTCTGTGTATAACGAAGGCAGGGCAACCTTCAGTCATGTCTCATATGGTATTGTACATAGGAAAATACTTCCTGGAGAGAAGCCTTATAAATGTAATGTGTGTGGGAAAAAGTTTAGGAAATACCCTTCCCTCCTGAAACACCAAAGTAGCCATGCCAAAGAGAAATCTTATGAATGTGAAGAATGTGGAAAAGAGTTTAGGCACATCTCATCCCTTATTGCACATCAGAGAATGCATACTGGAGAAAAACCATATGAATGCCACCAGTGTGGTAAAGCCTTCAGCCAGCGCGCACATCTTACTATCCATCAGAGAATTCATACGGGAGAGAAACCCTATAAGTGTGATGACTGCGGGAAAGACTTTAGTCAGCGTGCACACCTTACCATACATCAAAGGACACATACTGGAGAGAAACCATATAAATGCTTGGAATGCGGTAAAACCTTCAGCCACAGTTCATCACTGATTAATCATCAGAGAGTTCATACTGGAGAAAAACCTTATATATGCAACGAATGTGGGAAAACTTTCAGTCAGAGTACACACCTTCTTCAACATCAAAAAATACATACTGGAAAGAAACCATATAAATGCAATGAGTGTTGGAAAGTGTTTAGTCAGAGTACTTACCTTATTCGACATCAGAGAATCCATTCTGGAGAGAAGTGTTATAAATGTAATGAATGTGGAAAAGCCTTTGCTCATTCCTCAACTCTTATTCAACATCAAACTACTCACACTGGAGAGAAATCCTATATATGTAACATATGTGGGAAAGCCTTCAGCCAGAGTGCAAATCTTACTCAACATCATAGAACACATACTGGAGAGAAACCATATAAATGCAGTGTGTGTGGGAAAGCATTCAGCCAGAGTGTACACCTTACTCAACATCAGAGGATTCATAATGGAGAAAAACCCTTCAAATGCAACATATGTGGGAAAGCATATAGACAGGGTGCAAATCTTACTCAGCATCAAAGGATTCATACCGGAGAGAAACCCTATAAATGTAATGAATGTGGGAAAGCTTTTATTTATTCCTCATCACTTAATCAACATCAGAGAACTCATACTGGAGAAAGACCCTATAAATGTAATGAATGTGATAAAGATTTTAGCCAGAGAACATGCCTTATTCAACACCAGAGAATTCACACAGGAGAGAAGCCCTATGCATGCCGTATATGTGGTAAAACCTTCACCCAGAGTACAAACCTCATTCAGCATCAGCGTGTTCATACAGGTGCCAAACATCGTAACTAACAGATGTGGGAGACTTCATTTAGGTTTTACAACTTAATCATTTAAATTTTATTTTATATGCTTTGTGTTAAAACATTATTCAAAAGAAACCCAAAAGAAGTGCAATATATGTTAGATATCACACAGCAGAAGTATCAGAATTAGTAACATGGATATAACCTATTTAAATTTAATGTGAAATTTAAAAAGAAAACTTCATTCACTTCTCAACCTTTATTTGATGTCAGTTTAATTCATTCCAGAAAGAAACCCTATGAAAGTAAGAGTACTCAAAAACCTATAACTCAGCAACTTTTACTGTATTTATTTCAAGTACTTCTTAATGAGGCCTTATGAGTGAAACTTGGGAAAGCTTCGATCAAGTAGCGATTTCACACTAGAGAGTAATCCTGGGATGACAGGAAAGAAAAGGCTGCTTTCAGGCTCAGATATCATCCCAGCTGTGAAGCCTTAAATACGTAAAGGGTCCCCTCCCCCTTTTCACTTCCCTGTTCCCATTATGTCATAACTGCCAATGTGGAACCAGTAGGTTTGCCAGAAATGTTGAAAGTATCTTAAATACTTCTGTGTGACCACTGTTTAATTACCTTTTCCTTTAAATACTGAAATATTAAGGGAAGAGAAGCTTAATGAAAGATCTGGTAGGAAAGAGAAACTAATGTGTATATAACTCTTAGACATGTACAAATTTAGTTAAATGCAGAAATTAAACACTCAAGCTTAATTTAATCTTTAAAACATATTAACCTTAGTTTCACTAGGTTTTGACATGTGTGTCATCCTGAAGGAAAAAATAAGAATACAATTCCCATTTTTTTCACCTGACTCCTAAATTCATAATTTAAGGTTCCCTTTTGACTGTTTTACTGTAGGAAGTCCATTTCTTCCATTGAAACACATGTCTCTTGAGTGCCTACTGTGCTCAGGCCCACATTTTCTAATTGGATCCTTTCAGGGCTTCTTATAGTGCTGCAAGTCACAGCCAGTGTAAGCAACAGAAAGCTTTCTCAAGTAAAGAAAGATAAAGAACATGGTCTTAATTACTGTGTCATGGAATGAGCCTAAGAAACCTGCTAAAATGGGTTGCCAGATGGGACCCTGTGCCCCAAGACAAGGAATTAATGAAAGCAGCTACCTAAATAGTGTGAGAATAAGTAAATAATGGAAAATAGCTTTGAGTTCACTGCAGAAAGTGGGTCAGGGAAAAAATCAAGGTGAAGACTTGACAGGAAAGAATATACATAGGTAACTGTTATAACATGACGTTATTGGACTTGGTTTACCTAAGAAAATAAGAGTGACTAATTGAATAAAACAAAATTCAGCCTGTTGTTTATATGAAGAAACTAAAAATGAAATGACTGATTTTAAAGGAATAATTAGAATTGGTACTTCTTCATACTTTTAAGTAAAATGGGATTACTCTTAAAATAGCAGGAAAAATTTTCAGTGGAAAAAGCATTGATGCAGAAACTATCATTGATGCAGATAATGAACTGAGTTTGTGGGGTCCTAAACAGCATAAAAGGAAAACTAGCAGAAATACAAATAGAAATAGGTAAAAATACTACAGCAATCCCCCCTTATCCGTGGTTTTGCTTTCTACAGTTTCAGTTGCCCACAGTCAGCCACAGTCCAAAATTATTAAATGGAAAATTCCAGAAATAAACAATTCATAAGTTTTAAATTGCACGCTGCCTGAGTAGTGTGATGAAATCTTGTTGCTGTCCCCCTCCATCCCACCTGGGACGTGAATCATCCCATTTGGTGGATTCCCAACCATCGCCGACATCATGGCTCAATGATCATTCTGACGCATCAGAAGGTCAACAGTAGCCTAACACTGTCACAATGCCTCCGTCATTCACCTCACTTCATCTCTTCAGATAAGCAGTGTCGTCTCACATCATTACAAGAAGGGTGAGTACAATACAATCAAATATGTAGAGAAAGACCACATTCACATAACTTTTATTATAGTATATTTTAATTGTTCTATTTTATTATTAATCTCACTGTGCCTAAATTGTAACCTTTATCATAGGCACATATATATAGGAAAAAAACAATAGTACATATAGCTTTCAGTACTATCTGCAATTTCAGGCATCCACTGGGGGTCTTGGAACGTAACCCCTGTGAATAAGGGGGGACTGCTGTACTGTATTTAATATCCACAGCATTCCACTATCAGAATATAAGACCATATTCTGAGAGCTGAGATTCTATCTTGCTCTTGTTTCTTCAGTGCCTTGCATATGGTGGTCACTATATGTTGGTTGAATTAATGAATAAATAAGTAGGTAAATTAGAGTTAAGTAATAAGGTAAAATTAACATATGGAGTGAAATTGGTAGAATTTAAAATTCTTTTGTGCATACATACAAAAAAATATAAATATTGGTGATTTACTGGGTAATAGGAACTACTAAAAAATGAAGAAGCAGAATCCCCAAATCTTAACAATGGGGCTATTCCTAAAGAAATCATGGGACATCTTTGCACAGGAAATTTTCCTGAGCGAGATGAGGAAAAACTGATATAAATCCTGGTGCCATACATATCAGTTTGAGCACGTATTGACCATGCAGCTTCATTTGGACATTACTGTTCTTATAAACATCCTCCAAACAGGTGCTGAAGGGAAGACCTGGGTGCTAGCATCTTAAAGGCTTTCTTGTTGAGTGTTTTCTTCAAGAAGTTGCTTTCCCTTGTCCTCACATTAGTTAACCTTGATGTCATGGAATCATCATTCACAAAGTGCAGATTGTCTCCAGGTTGCATAATACTCAAATTATGCATATGCCATAGTTATGATGTTAAAAAATAACCGTTGTATTTAAGATGCAGTTTTTGTAATGCCACTTCATAGCTTAAACACCACTTTTTTCTTCTGGCGTGAATGTGTGGAGTATTCAGAGTACATAGCGCCTTTCTTTGAATTCATTTGTATTTCCTGCCTTTGTGTGTTTTATGTAAATAATGCATTTATAAAGTATTCCACTAATACACTGAGGCAATTAATGCCCTTATAAAATGATAGTATAATAATAATAGTGGAGAATCCTAGATTTTTCTGTATTTTTCCCCTTTTTATAGTTGTCTGACCCACAAGTAATTCAGGTTTTTTAGCAGATAGTCTTATTTTCCACAACTTTTTATTATGAAAATGTTCAAATATACAGAAAAGTTAAAGAATAATAAAACGAACTGTATATCCACCACCTAGATTAAAATTAACATTTTGCCATATGTTTTACTGAACAATTAGAAAGTAACTTACAGACATGACATTTTACCCCTAAAAACTTACGTATGCATCTCATAAAAATAAAGGCACTCTTTTACGTAGCCACACTACCATTACATACCTCAAAAATGAACAGTAATTCCCTGATATCTAATGCTTATTAGTCCATGTTAAGTTTTCCCTGTTGATCCAGTCAAGTTTCACATATTACATTTGATTATGTCTGTCTCTTCTATCTAGAACAGTCTCCCACCTTTGAATTTTTTGCAGGACTTTTTTTTTTAATAGAGCAGGTCAGTTGTAGAATGTCTCACATTCAGGATTTATCTGGTTGTTTACATGTGGTCTGTTTATCTTGTTCCTGTATCCCCTGTAGTTTCTATAAATTAGCAGTTAGAGCCAAACGCTTGATGGATTCAGGTTAAACATTTTTAACAGTTCACAGATGTATTTCATATTGTATCACATCAAAAGTCTCAATATATGGTTGACTCACTATCAGCGATGCAAAATTTGATCACTCGATTGAAGTGGCAACCACCATATCTTCTTAACGTAAAGGTATGTTTTTCCTGTTGCAATTAAATAATCTGTGGACTGACACTTCAGCAGCATATGGATGGCCTATTTACCAACAACCTTTCACCTGGTGATTTTGGTATCCAATGATGATGATCCTTGCCTGAATCAATTATTTCATCAAGATTTGCAAAATGGCGATTTTCTAGTTCTGTTACTCTTTCTACATTTACTGACAGGCATTCTGTAAGGAAGAGCTTTCCTTCATCAACTGGGAATGCACTAGAGGCAGGGTTGTGCTCAATTCTTTTCCCTTAATTACCAGTTTTCAGAGTAAGGAGTTGGTAGTGATGACAGATGATTCAATGTGTTACAATCAATTATGATCATTGTTTCTGATGCTCAGATTATCCCAGATTTGGCCAGACGGAACCCTTGAAGTAGCTCTTAACGTCTTTTGACATTCCCTGTCTAGTCTTTGGGCACTTAAATTGCCTTCCAACACAGGATATCTCAGGTTCACCTTGCACTTTCAATGCTCCACATATGGAATGAGCCATTTCTCCAGGAATCCCTAGCTCTTTTTAATAGGCAACTATTTAGAAACCAAGATCTGGGCACTAGGCATGCTCATTGCTACTGGGGTATCATTAGCAAGTAGCCTTTGACTTTTTTTACAACCATTCAATTTAGTCTCCATAAAGACAACTCTTTGCACCCATTTCATCAGTTACATAATATCTAATTTTGTAATGGGAAATATAATTACATACTGGGACAGACTAATTTAGGAGCAAACAACTAAGTCTTGTTAAGCCTACAACTAAACTGAAGAGAACAGAAGTGTTACGTATACTAGAAAGCAGCAAACTTAACCACAAGAGGTCTTGTGCCAAGGCTATCAGCAGATTTTACAGAGGAAGGGAGCTTCTCAGTTAATCTGGCAATTGGGTTAAGTAGAGAGCAGTTAAGAGAGCAACTAAATGCATGATACATACTATATTGTGTTTTAACTATTACATATCTTGATAATTTACTGTATAAGCTAATCACACACCTTTCCCATCACATTCCTTAAGGCAAATTTCTGATCTAAATTTGAACTGAGGGTCTGTTTCATGCAAATCTAAGTGCTAGTTTTTCTTCCTAAACTTTTATTTGGTGCTTAAAACATTAAGGCTATTAGATTTCATTCTTTGACTATCTTTTGCTATCAATTTACTTGCATGTGCCTGTAAATGTAATTAGGCCTCTATTTCTGTTATTCTCCTCAGGACTCTATATTTCACTATAATTATTAGACCCTTAGAAACTGTAGCCATTAAAAATGGCAAGCATGTGCACTACAGTGATATGTATAAATATGTGTGTAGCTTGTAAGCAACATTGAGTCCTCTGGATGGATGGGGAAAGTGATGCCCCTGATGCTGAAGTGTCTTGCCTGAGGTCATATAGTCATACAGTGACAGAATAAGGATTGGAACCCATGGCTCCAGCACTTAGTTGAGTTCTTCCTGTAAAATAATGTTAAATGAAAATTCAGAGCACAAAAAGTATGTACCTACAATTTTATAAAATAATGTATTTTGATGAGATTAGAGCATTGAAAGTTTTTTATTTGTTTTGTCTTCCCTCCCATAGAGTTTCTTAAATTCAAATCTTTAAATGAGAATAGCCCAACAAAGGATGCACTCCCCGACTCCACTCCAATTTTGGTCTCCCACCCAGATCTTTCTCAAGTCAGAACCACATAGTCATTGATCACCTGGAACTATCTCACAAGTGCCTTAAGTGGTTTAATTTAAAACTGAATTGTTTTCACCCCAAAACCTCTTTTTTAATTCACTGTAACTTTGACAGGGAAGCTAGAAGCCACTCTCTTCTTCACCAGTAGTTGTTTTAGTCCTATTGGTTTTACCTTCTATATATTCCGGTTCATTCTCTCTTCTCTATCCCCACTGCCACTACCTCTTTTCCAGCTTTTAATCAGCTCTCATTTAGATTATTTCAGACCCAGGTAAGTGTTCACCCTGCCCCTGACCTCACCCCTTTCAATGTATCTTCTGCACTATTGGCCACAGTCATCTGAAAACATCTCACTAGGACCACCACATACAGCTGTACAGCTTGAGTAGTGAATAACCATACAAGGTGGCCCTGCATTTGACCATGTCACAGTTTGCTTTGGTATCTTCTCATTGTCAACAGCAAATGGATCTCACTCTTAGCCACACACAGAATGACCTGGGGAGCTTTTAGAATTACCAATGCCAGGGCCCCACGTCCAGGAATACTGGTTTATTTCATTTGGGATGGGGCCTGGTTATCAGTATTTCTTCAACTCCCTGGGTGGTTCTAATGTTCTAAAGTGGAGCAAGGGCAGAAGCAGGGAGACCAGTTAGGAAGCTATCACAGTAATTCAGATGAGAAATAGTGGTGGTCACAGGAGAGGTAGTGAGAAGTGACTCAACCCTGGATATATTTTGAAGGTAGAGTCTATAGAACTTCCTTATGAATTGGATTGGGAAGTGAGACAGA